TGGAATCATGTTTAGCTGCCCAAGCGGGTTCATCATCTGTTACCCAAGCGGGTCTATCTTCATCAAATCATAATGATCATGTTGTGGATAACTTCTTTGATGGGTATGAAAGATTACAAAGACCTGGTCTGAGTGCATTGGCGACTGCTCGTGGCCTTTCAGTACCTGAAAACTCGACCATCAAAGAACTTTGAGAGATCATTTCTCATCATGTCGGTACTGGGCTATGTTCTTCTTCTTTATCACAATCGTTCGAAGGGTGTGATTCCCTCCGTCAACAGTTAAACTTGCATTGTGAAGATGAAGCAGAGGTGCTCTCTGGAAGAATCGTGTTCTTGACAGCTGTATTGAGTAATATGAAATGACGTCCTTTGGAACGATTACTGAAAGCAAACGGAGTTGATTTTGAACCTGGATCGAAAACAGGGACGACTATGTCATACACTGAAAAAACATATCCAGTCGCTACGAAAAGCGAAGTCGAAATCCTCCAATAAAAATTGGACACAAGCTCGACAGAATGATCGCGAAAATCTTTGTCATCAACTTTGTCGTGAATGGCCCCAGATTCCGTCATCGGAATTGAAGTGTTGTTGTTTGGTGCAGATGTTTAGGGATGAGACTTCTTCTGAAAAACTGGCCATGTTTACATGTGCGTCCTGCGCCTGAAAGTGTCTTATGTTTGGAACGTACATTAGTATCTCTGGATGATTTTGATTCATCTCTTTTGCGCAGACCTGACCGACAAGATGATCAGCATATGTCAGATGATTATTTCGACAGAGACTGTCCTCTTCCTCAAATTCTGTTTGCAGATTTGAATAATCTGCTTAGTGATTTGATGCTCAAACCGTCCGGAGTGAAACCATGCAGCGATGGTAAATATCAACTATATCTCTGTAGTGTATGCCACAAAAAGCTTGTGAAGGGAAAACAACCAGCTCTCAGTCTTGTGAACTGCACTTTTTTAGGAGATGTACCTGATGAATTGAAGGATTTGACGGTTGTCGAGGAAGCGATGATTGCTCATTGTTATGCAAAGTGCTGGATCATTCAGTTGAAGGAAGAAAATCAGGACCTGCAACTTTCTACAAATCAACATGGGATCAAGGGCCACATAATCATCTATCCTCAGCGCCCAGAAGGGATTGCAAAAGTTTTACCTCCTCCAGTCACTGACATTATCACTCCGATCTGTGTCATTTTTGTAGGCTCGTGTCCTCCGACTCGTGCATGGCTTGAAGAAAAGGCCAAACCTTTGATAGCTTGCAGAGAAAAGGTTCACGCTGCATTAGTTTGGCTGAAAAATACAATCACTTGTATAAGGACATCACTATTGATTTCAATGTCTTGAACTCTATGGAGGCAAAAACACTGATGCCTTTTCACGTTGACCACATTCTTCCCAATGATGCGCGTTATTCTTTGACGTCAAAATATGATGGAAGTGAGGCAGCACAGTTGAATGATGATGTTTTGCCACCTAATGATCAATCAGTGTGTGCTGATGAGCTAGAAGCTAATTTTGAGAGAGTCATAGTTACCAATGTTGATGGAAATGTGTCTGCGAATGAATTGCGTGCTGCAGCAGTCTGTCATATTAAAAACAAGGGCGGTGGATATATCCAGGTCCCTCACGATCCTGAACCTGTCAATGAGTTTTTTAATCCGGACTTATTTCCGATGATTTATCCTACATTGTTTCCATATGGACTGGGAAGATTTGAGGACCACCTGCGTTCCGAACCATTGTCACTCAAGAGACATATTAAGCACCTTTTCAACCTCACTGATCGTTGATTTCAAGAACACTACTTGTTTCTGTTCACGGCATTCAACATTTTACAGCATCGTAAAATTCTAATACATACATCTTTAAAAGTTAAATGGGACTCATTTCCAACTATAGCTACAAACCTCGCAGCTGTTTCGCCTTGGGCTGTTCACTGTGTAACAGAGTGCATAGCTCGAGGTGACACTGTGTCTGCAAACAATGAAGATGAGTGATCTGTGTTGCGCTTGATGAAAGAAGTGCAAGTGATAACCTCACAAGTTCCAGGATCTGCACATGCGAGAGCACACATGCAAAACGAAATCCTGTGGCCTGATGTGCGAGCGAGGATTGCCAAGTTTTTATGTTACAATCAATCCTGCTGACATATATAATCCATTAGTCAAATTTCTAGCCGGTGATGAAATAGATATTGATAATCTTCTGCCAGAGGAAGTGCCAAAATTCCATGAGCAATCTATCCTCATAGCGTGAAATCTGGCCATCGCAGCTAAATTCTTCAATGTCTACATGAAAGCCTTCATCAAATGTCTTCTGTGATTTGAAGGAAAGGGGACAGACCTTCATGAGGGTATGCTTGGCACTGTCAGCACATATTATGGGTGCATCGAAGCTCAAGGTAGAGGAACACTGCACTGTCATATGTTGATATGGCTGGAAGGTGGCCTCAATCCCAATGAAATCAAGGATCAAATATTACAAAATGACGAATACACCTTTAAGGACAACTGAAATGATCATTTCACAAACTGCCAGCTTCAACATAAGCTTGCAGGAATTTCAAGCAAAATATCGAGCTGTAATCATGGTTTTAATGAAGATGACATGTTCACAGATAATACCGACGAAGATATACTCACTCATCTAGAATCAATGGACTCCTGTCGTTCAATTCGCCAGTCCACAGTCAACGAGGACCTGATCTGCTGCCTTCAGCATATGGACTCTTGCCAGTTCTTTAATGACCTTTCATGTATTTCAAATCCTGCAGATCCTGCTATGAACCACCATGAAAACGATAGTTGACTTGTTGAACAAATGATTGAAGATATCAAGCAGGAAAATGAATGGTGAGATTGCTATGAAAAAAGGTGGACAAAATGGAAGCAAAACCAAGCTACAAATGATCCCTTGAAATTGCAGTCAACTACCAATCATAATGCTCCATTAACGACGATAGAAACACTGCAGACGAGACCGTTAGAAACACGTGATACCTTGGTTCCAAGTATTGAAAGCCGTACCCATCCAATTAATGAGTTCTGCGACATGAACAGTGACTGTGTTGTGCAAGAATGGTTGCTAAATGACGAGCAAGCAAGAGCATTCAAAATAATAGCGGAGCATAGTCGAGCGAACAATCCCGAACCTCTAAGAATGTTTATTGGAGGACCCACTGGAACTGGAAAATCGAGGGTGATCAACGCTCTGAAGGACTTTTTTGTAAGATGAAATCAAGCATGACGATTCAGATTGGCTTTGTACATGGGAGTGGCTGCACGGAACATCTCGGGCATGACTCTACATGCATCACTTTTATTAAACCAAAGACATACATCCGCAGCAAATACCAAAATGAAACGAGACCTCACGGCAATGTGGGAAGGAATTGACTACCTGTTCATAGATGAAGTATCCATGATAAGCTGCAATTTTCTCACCAAAATTCACGACACACTAGTAGACGCTAAAGGAAACACTGCACCATTCGGAGGAATCAATATCATTTTTGCCGGAGATTTTGCTCAGCTTTCACCTGTGAGTGGCAAACAATTGTACACCCACCTGGACCTCAGATGTTGTGCAACAACCCAGGGACAAAAAACTATCTTTGGCAGACTCCTCTGGCTCTCGATGAGCACCGTGGTCCTATTAACGAAAATAATGCGTCAGTCAGGTCCAGAGAATGAACGGTTTGTCAAATCTCTTGCACACCTGCGTGAAGGGAAATGCACTCAAGATGATTATCAACTTCTACAGACGAGAGTGATTACTAACAGTGCCAGAAATACAAATGACTGTGAATGGAAAGATGCACCAATTATTGTTTGTGATAATGAAAGCAAAGATGAACTGAACATTAGAATGATGACGGTGTTTGCACAAAAGACAGGACAAACTCTCCATTGGTACCACTGCACAGACAAGCATCAAGGAAAGCGACTGTGTGATGAGGTCCTGATCAACAAATTACAGTGTTTGAATTCAGGAAAAACTAACATGCGACTAGGCAAAATACCGTTAGTCATTGGCATACCAATCCTTGTGTCTCGGAATTTTGACATCGAAGGTGGAATCATAAATGGTAGCACTGGCATACTGAAGAAAGTAAGATACTCACTAAATGATGAGAAGCAACACGTTCTAAGATCCTGTATTGTAGAAATAAGTCAGTCGTCAGATGAAGCACTTCCGAACTTATGTCCACACAAGATACCCATCATTGAGGATTCAGTAGAACTTAGATTTACACACCTGAACTCAAAAAAAACCTGTTGCATTACTCGTAAACAGGTTCCTATTCTGCTGGGGTTCATTATCACCGCGCATAAGTCGCAGGGCCAAACATTAGAGAAGGTTATCGTTGATATTGGTTCAAAATGGTGCCAAGGCGCTGAGAAACCATATGTGATGGTGTTGCGTGCAACATCTTTACAAAGCCTATTCATCCTACGTCCGTTCAATTACAGCAAAAATTGCTCTCACCCAGTCCCAAGACATCCGTCGAGAAATGCTTTGATTAGATATTTTGAACCTAAAGGCTTTAATTGACTCGCCATATGCAACTGATGAACAATGAGAACGAGCAGAGAAACAGTTACCAGTCCTGAACAACCTGGTTACACAAGGTAAAACATTGGCATGTAGCAAAGAGAACCTGTGTGCACAAACTAAACAGCGTTCAACAAACCATTCTCAACCTCAACAATCTTATTATAGCAGGCACCCAACCTGGGCTGAACCAACAACCACATCACCAGAAAAAAAGAAAAAGGATTGAGGATGCCATACCTCAGTCCAAGCCAGCAGAGAATGACCTGCATCCGCCTCCACAGTGGACCAAATGCTGCAGGGCGACCTGACTATGATCGACAATGATTTTTGTCAGCAGAGGTATGCGTCATACCCTTGTAATCCCTATCTCCTGTTATTTAAACTGAGGTGTGATGCAGTTCAAACCATGTGATCTTCCACTAAAACCACCACCATGTCCATTCCTGACTCTGAAATCCAATGCTTCTCACACCGTGCCGCAAATGACATCTATGATCGCGTCAGTGATGCGATGATGAAGCTCGGCAAAGATGGCTTAGGAGAAGCTGACTTCAGTATCGATTGGTGCACAACCATGCAAGACAACTATAGCGGAACGAATTGGTCATATGTGAATACGAAGGATGGTCGACCGTTTAAGACCAACATCATCAGCCAGATTGCGACCTCCACATGTGGCACTAGGCATTCAGCCAAAGGCACGCACTTTACCAAAAAGGCATGTACAACTCTTGCCAGTCAACTGATATCATCTGACACTTGCGAGACAAGAATGTACCTCTGAGTGACTCCAACACTGTCAAATGGAAGTAGGCACTCTCTAGGCCCGCTTTATGCTCACCCAATTTAGCAGACATCTGGGAGAACCAGCTGACGTCTCTCGAAGATTGGGTAACTGAGGAAAAGAAGAGGGTGGCGAGTGTCAGTGACACCCATTACATCGTTTCAAATCTAACAGACCTTACAGGAATCTAAGATCAATGGTTGCACCATCAAGAGCAACAATGACCTGCAGTATGCAGACCTCATCATCCTCACATCACAGCGCATCTATGAGGTGAGCCACAAAGCGACGACCTCCACATCAACCTAAACATATCAATCATAGAAACCAAACGGGAAAAATATTCCCACCAGTCACGATGCGGCTCCACGACAAACAAAGTGAAAGTTCACGGACAAGGAAAGCATGGCAGGACAACAAGCCACGCCCATGGCGACAACATCTGTAGTGAACACAACAGAAACAGTAGACATCCCAATGCCTACCACAGACGAAGGTAATGACCATGTCAATCTCGCATGATGGATACCAATGCTCAACAGTCATTGACAAGTCTTTCAGGGAGCTCTTTATGATCCGAGAATCCTCCCCGACTACCGTGGATCGTACTTCAAACTATGTCAGAATAAGCTTAAACAGCTAAACATCTTCGACACCCCAGATAACAACTGCAAGTTGGTGCCCATGCATGAGATGTACGCGAAATTAAGACCAGGGACGCTTATTCTCACTGTCTGCAAGGCGCACATATATAACATTGTGCAGAATGGGCTACCAACGAGCGTACACACCTCTAAAAATCAAACATCACATCTACTAATCCCACACTAGACATTCCAACTGGCAGTACAAGCGATCAAGATCCTTGATCCATCTGACAAGCCTGTCAAAGAACGAATTTATCCCAATTCTCTCCCCAACTTCGACAGACATGTCGAAGGATAATTTGGCTGTCGCAAGCTTCTCTATGTTCAATGTCGCTACCAGCCCTGTGAAAAAATCTAAGCATGCAAAGGGAGGCAAAGGAAAAGAGAAAATGGACTGATTTGTGTTTCAGCCTCGTGATGTACTTGTACCGATGAATCGTGTCTCTTCTGACTGAAAAAAGGGAGTTGTTCGAGTGTATTTGTAACAGCCTCCACATTGCCTTATGTTTTGATATGACCTTATGTATTTATAGCGCCTCAGTATTGAAATTGTAGCGTAGAGTCAGGGATCAAATCAAAGCGACTGTAGCAGGCTCTGCCGTGTGCGGCCTTTTGCATTATTAGCAAACACTGTGCAAGGTTTAGTAGTTTACTGATGTATATTCATCCTAGCTCGTTTTACATAAGCTCTTACAATTTTCCTTCATGCTTGTAGCAGAACTTCCTCAGTGACTTCCATTAAGTCTACTGAGGTCAGTACAGATTACTCACATTACTTATGCCTAGCTAATGGTTCCCGCAGCTCATGTACTTGCTGCAGATATATATCCAATATGGTGACTTCCATTAAGTCTACTGAGCTCGTGTACTCACTGCAAAACATGTCTCTCACTGCAAAACATGTCTGGCTTTAGAAAGGCAGCTTTCAATGGTGAGATCTATAATTACTGACAGTGTGCCAGGGTATGATATTGAATCATGATGGCATATCAAGATGTTGACTAGTGATCAAACATGTCTGGGCAGCTTTCGATGGCAGGACCTATAATCACTGATAGTATGGCAAGGTATGCTATTGAATCATCATGCCATATCAAGATGCTAATGTTCAACTGAATACATCTGGCTTTAGAAAGGCAGCTTTTGATGATGATGTCCAAGGGCCAGAGTCACTTGATAACCTTGTGACTATGGGTACCTCTGCTGTCATTTGTTGTCTCAAGGAATTCAAGAATGGATCACACAAAGCCATCAGCTTCACAGCAGCAGCTTTTAGGTCTGAATATGACAATTACCTCAGTTTGATGCCCAAGAACATCAAGAACTTGCTGCAATTGCTGGATAGATAGGTTAAGTACTGTGTCCATATGTTCCATACAGGTTGCTCGATCACAGGGCTTGAAGATGAGCTGCGAGATAATCTGTAGTTACTTATCATGTCGTATCAATCGTGTATCTATGCACTCACCCAACACTCGCCAAACAGATAAGTGATCTGAGACCGTTGTTGCAGGAAATGACCGCCTTCGATACAGCAGCATTATATATCCAAATTCAGCGAGTACGAGAGAAAATCCCTGACCTATACCTTAAGTGTCACTCAAAAGCAGCATTTCGAGCGGCGCGACACTGAGATATGGGCCTAATTTACATAAAAAATGTCGTTCGCCATCAATTATGTCATATGGGCGGATCATATCCTCAAGTCATTCCAACATAAAATTTCCGGAAGCTGGTTCCTGATTGACATAAAATGCTTCTGATTCCTCAGCCGCTCGATCTCTTGTCTACTTTGTTAGCTTAACGACCGTACGCGAGACCTTTCCGCCCTTTAGACCAACTTTAGATTCATTATTGAGCAATTTTCAAGATTCAGGAATGACTTCCTACACATCTGGTGCAGGAATCCCCTTCACTTATGGCTCTCATACCAGTTCTTACACAGTAAGGGATGCTATCGCTTCATGTACGTACTAAAACTGTTCCTACTGGTTTGTGATAACCTGACTTCGAACGCAGATCGTCGCTCGCAATTCTTTGCCAGTTCAAACATACCGTATAGCTCACATTTCTCTGACGACGAGGAGTCGGGTGAAGAGGCTCGCGTTGTAGAAGATGATGAGGAAGGCGAGTTAACTCCAATATCTAGGGATGACGCGATAGAGGTCTGGGACTGGGATGAATCGTCGCGTCCAGTCATGCGACCTGTACGAGCTTTCCTCCCCCGACAGGTTGTTGATATCGGGGAAATCACTCCTAGTGGAAGCCAACTCACTCAAACGACCAGCGACGAAGCTACTCCTTTGCTGAAAGCATCTTCTACATCTAATCAAATCAGTTATGGGGGACCTGGGTCAGATGCGTACGTCGACGGAGAGTTATGCGGCTCAACAGATCGGTCTTTACTACGGCGCAAGTCGTCAGCTACCCTGAAGAAACCATACAACTATGGAGGACAAAGTACATATGGGCAGACAGTGGGTGTTGTCATTTGATCGTGAATGTCTCTGCTAAAGGCGATTGATTGCTCAGTTGTTCAACAGTATCGCGATATTGTTAGGCATAGGAATGCTATCCGAGCCCCTGGCCTTTGCATATGCTGGTTGGATCGGCGGAACAGCTCTCATTATATTTTTGGGCTGCTTGAATTGCTATACGTCAGTTGAACTCGCACTATCTGACCGTGTTGTCCCACTCACCGCATGCAACAGTGCTAAAATCCTGGCTGGTATCATCTTGGATGACCCTCGTTTGAGGTCATACGCCGACATCGGTCGTAAGGCGTTTGGTCCGAAGTCGACTGCCTTGACCACAATTTTATTTTGTCTCGAACTTTTCGCCCTCGGGTCAGCGTCTTTCCCAAATCAGACTTGGTCGCGGAATTGATGTTCTTCCTCAAGCGTTGCTTTCGTCACTATAGCCGCTGACTCCATGCACGAAGTCATGCCAGCGTATTCTGCAGACACGTTTAAAATCTTGTTTATAGTCGTGTAAGTGTTACTTCCCGATGGTGCTAGCATAATTCTCATGGTTCCTCGACCTTTTGAACATTAGATTGGTACCACTAGTTTTCCTACCGCTGTCTATACTATCGTATACCTCGATTTTTGGGATTTGTTCGACGCTCCTCATCATCCTTGTCATTTTTATAGACGGCTTTTCTAAGCCAGATGCCCCTGGTAGTCTGTGGAGTCCAGCCATAACGTCATGGGGGACTGGCTCTATGACAGAGCTTGGTATTGCATTTGGCTTGTTGATGGCTGGCGTATGTCTCATCTTGCGCCCGGTTCCCGAAATACGGCACTCATTGTCGGTGCCTTAGTTCTCTGGTCATGCTGTGATACCATCGCTAGCCCGTGACATGGTCGATCCTTCCCAGTTTGATAATATGATCAACTGGGCTTTCGTAAGTAGATTTGTTAGGGTGTCTTGTCATGATTGTTCATCATTTCCCAATCTTCATAGGTCATTGCCACATTCACCTATGCGATCATCGGCTATGCGGGATACTTGATGTTCGGACGTAACGTGAGCGGTGAGGTGAGCCCCATAATTACTTTTTGACGACAATGCGAGATGTTGACAACGCATATAGATCAGTAAGGACCTCATGAACACTCCTGGTTATAACTCCTGGATCAACGAAATTGCTCTGTGGATGTTGGTGTCAACTCCTCTGTAAGTTTCGGAAGCTCCTTTTCTTTTCTAACACTGACACTCCATGTACAGCACGAAGTTCCCTCTCAGCACGCGGCCAGTGAGCGATATGCACCTGTCATAGAGGGCTAACATACTGATGCGCTTTCTGTCTAGCTCAATGTCATCCTCGAAATCATGCTCGATATAGATAATCATACTCCTGGCGTCAAACCTCAACTGGACACTCAATCTTCGACTGCCTGTCGGCTTTTTAATCGCGCTCTCTTCGTTGTCGAGCGCGTATCTGTCCCTGCGCTGTCTATTATGGTGTCGATCATCTTTCCCGAGTTTAGCTCCCTTATGGCCTTCCTTGGCTCGTTTTCGGCGTTCATGATCTGTGTTATCGGTCCCATATCAGCTAAAATTGCCCTTGGGGGAAGGTGCAGTTTCGTTGATGCTTCACTCCTCGCAATAGCCACTGTGATGGCAACTTGGGGAACGTTCGCTGCATTTTGGACTGCGTGAGAAATCCTCATTTGTCTTGAAGAAATTACATAGACGGGGACCTCCTTGAAGTACTTTATTAGTCTCTTTTCACTCATCTTGTTTCTGACCTTTTACTTGCGTTTCCTGCAAGCATGTATTATACACATCTTCGTCTGGTCGTATCACATCTATCAACATCATATTGAATGGGTAGATGTACACTGTACACGAATATCACTGTCAAGTCATCATTTGGCTTGCACAGTATGTGAGATAACCTTGCTAAGCTCTATATATATAAGTGATTGAGGGCGATCCAAAGTTGCAGTACAGGGAAAACTCACGTGGAAGCTTAATATGCTCTTGAATGACAACCGACTCAATTTGATTGTCAGGGTTTGGTGGTATGCTGACTACCCCAGCGGATGAATCAGATGTCCATCGTTGTTTCGCGACCCATGCCTCTAGCTCCGGTCCTATGGAAATAATAAGTGGATAGATATGACACGTGGCTTATAACAAACCTGATAGATCCACATAGGATCCCAGCCTCTTACTGCTGATCCGCGTGAAAGTAGCCTTTACAGATCGCGCGGCGACTTCCCGGATGGCATCTTCGAATCCTGCGCACTCCACTGTATAATTCTCTCTTATAACCTCCAACTCATCGGACCGATACATACTCCAAAACGCAGAGAAACGACACTGGTGAAGGAGGTTGTAGAGATTTGTGAGGAGCGGCAGAAGCGTAGGCAATGGATCGGGCTCGTCGAGAGTGCCATTAATTGGCCGGTCGTCGAGCAGAGATATGCAGAGGTTGAAGTCTGGGAAAGGCTCTGCTGTAAGAGCCTTGAGGAGGATATTGATGACCACGTCGGGATTGAAGAGGTCAGGATTGAATTGGTAGCTGCGACCGAGGGGTCGACGTTCGAGCTTGTAAGATGAATCGGGCGAAACTTACAGTTTCAAGATAGCAAGATTAGCGAGGCAGTCATACTCCTGGCTGCGGATCTGGTGGTAGAGGTAGTCCTCGAGAATACCAACATTTGATGGGTTGTAACGGTCTGGGGTCACTTATGAGTGTCAAATCGATGGTGAAGAGCTTATAATCACGCACCAACCCCGGATACAAGATTTTCAATAAGCTCTGTCCGTGAAGGAGGCGCAAGCCACGCTGCTGTTGCTGCCATAGCCGCGTTGTTTTTCAAGGTGGAAGAGCAAAAAGTAAAAAGTTGATCAGACCCCAGATACCGCGGCTGTACATACTACCCCAAGTAGTACCTACTACCTAGTATGTACTTGTACTAAGATCTTCTTTCACGGGCAACATATCTGGTACAACAGATAGTATGTACCAGACTGAGAATTCGCATCCTACCCGCTCACCCAATTTCTAGTTGCTCATGGCCATCGAAGACATTCGTACAATGAACGGGTCTGATGAAGACACCTTGCAAATGGATGCCGCTGTGTCAAATGAGAGCTCAGACGAAGGGATCGAGGAAACGACCCCGGACCATTATCTTTCCAACGGGCACATGCAATCTACACCTGTTTCCGATGCAACCATGCCAAAGACCAACAGATCGAAGCCACGATATGCAGTAAAGTATATTTTGAGCGGACACACTATGGCAATATCCTCCCTCAAGTTCAGTCCAGACGGCACTATGCTAGCTTCGTCAGGTGCGCCTCTTTTCTCCGGTGATTAATTGTGCGTTGCCGACCCTAAAAACTTTGGAAGCAAGCCGCCGACAAACTGGTTAAGCTGTGGGATGCTTACACAGGAGAGATCTTGAGAACCTTTGAAGGCCATACCGAAGGTGTCAATGATGTCTCATGGTCCAATGACGGGGAAATTCTTGCTTCAGCATCAGATGATAAGAGTATTATACTCTGGAGCTTAGAGACCGTACGTTGCCTCTACCTCAGTCCTACTTATCATTAATCCCTTTGTTTCAGAATTCTATTGTGAAAACCCTTCTAGGGCATACAAATTTCGTCTTTTGCGTCAACTTCAATCCCCGATCTAATCTTTTGGTCACCGGTGGTTATGATGAGACTGTTCGTGTTTGGGACGTGGCACGAGGTTCGTTGAATTGACTTTGCGCTCTGAATGTAAGCCGAATGTCACTAGGGAAATCATTAAAGATTCTTCCCGCCCACTCTGATCCTGTCACTGCTGTCAGTTTTAATCACGACGGAACACTCATAGTATCCTGCGCGATGGATGGGTTGATGTAAGCATTCATCAAACCATGGCGAAGTATTTATCTAATCAGATCTAGACGAATTTGGGATGCTGAGTCCGGGCAGTGTTTGAAGACTCTAGTTGATGACGATAATCCCATATGGTGAATGGTTTTCGTCGTTATTTCGCGTGGTACTGACTCGGCGTTCTCAGTTCGCACGTCAAATTCTCTCCGAACTCGAAATTTATTCTCTCAGCAACCCAGGACTCGACAATCAGACTCTGGGACTATCAGAAATCACGTTGCGTCAAAACGTACACTGGTCACACCAATAGGACATACTGTCTGTTCACTTGCTTCAGTACTACTCAAACATTATGCGTAGTGAGTGGCAGTGAGGACTCAAAAATATACATATGGGACTTGCAAAGTCGCGAAGTACTACAGGTTCTCGAGGGCCACAGAGGTACATCTTCGCATTTCCTTAGTGCCATTGTGATGGGTGGCTGATGTGAATGGGCAGATGCAGTCTTAGCAATTGCGGTAAGCAAAACTCGGCATGAGCTTGTCATCGACTGAAGTTAGCGCTCAGACTCATCCTATTCGTAACATTATGGCTTCTGCTTCAATGGAGAAAGACCTGACAATCAGGCTATGGTATGATGAATGACTTGCCTTGTTCAGAATGCGCAGTTACAAGGAAGCTGGATCACAAGAATGCCAAAACAATAATGACTTGATTGACTTGATGCGGCATTCCACGAAATTTTAAAAAAAGTCAAATGTGTCTCAGCAAAAAACGCATGGTTATGTTCCAGAGGACCGAGCAGACATTTCGAAGGATGGGGGAGGGTGGCCATGAAACGTTGCGGGATAGCCTGTTGGCTGTGCACTTGTCTACTACCTAAGCCTTTGTCTACGCACTGCATAAGTGGCAGATTCTGGGCTTGTTTAAACTCCGCTCCGCAGTATATAAGCACGTTATCTAGTGTCACACCAACCTCACCAAGGTCTCACAACCATCCTCGTACTCTCAACCACTCAGGTGAGTATTTTATGATCCACCTCTATATGTATGCAAGACTGACGATGAGCTATAGAATGCAGATCTTTGTCAAGACCCTCACTGGCAAGACCATCACGTTAGAGGTGGAGTCCTCTGACACCATCGATAACGTTAAGGCCAAGATCCAAGATAAGGAGGGGTACGTTGCATTTGAAAGGTGAAGACTCAAAACTGACGGTTGCGTTGCAGCATCCCTCCTGACCAGCAGCGTCTCATCTTCGCCGGAAAGCAATTGGAAGATGGTCGTACGCTCTCGGATTACAACATCCAGAAGGAGTCTACCCTTCACTTAGTCTTGCGTCTCCGCGGAGGCATGCAGATCTTTGTCAAGACCCTCACGGGGAAGACCATCACGTTGGAAGTGGAGTCATCCGACACTATCGACAACGTGAAGGCGAAGATCCAGGACAAGGAAGGCATCCCTCCTGACCAACAACGTCTTATCTTTGCTGGAAAGCAGTTGGAAGATGGCCGTACGCTCTCGGATTATAACATCCAGAAGGAGTCCACCCTTCACCTCGTCTTACGTCTTCGTGGAGGCATGCAGATCTTTGTCAAGACCCTCACGGGGAAGACCATCACGTTGGAAGTGGAGTCATCCGACACTATCGACAACGTGAAGGCGAAGATTCAGGATAAGGAAGGCATTCCTCCTGACCAACAGCGTCTTATCTTCGCTGGGAAGCAGTTGGAAGATGGCCGTACGCTCTCGGATTACAACATCCAGAAGGAGTCCACCCTTCACCTCGTCTTGCGTCTTCGCGGAGGTATGCAGATCTTTGTCAAAACTCTCACTGGGAAGACCATCACGTTGGAAGTGGAGTCATCCGACACTATCGACAACGTGAAGGCGAAGATTCAAGATAAGGAAGGCATTCCTCCTGATCAGCAACGCCTTATCTTCGCTGGAAAGCAGTTGGAAGATGGTCGCACACTCTCTGACTACAACATTCAGAAGGAGAGTACCCTTCACCTTGTACTCCGTCTTCGTGGTGGCTGTTAGCTTTGTCGTTGCATATGCTTGATTACAGACGTTGTACCATTATTCCTACCCCACTGTTACGCCGGTGTTAATCCATACGTTCTCCGGCAGTCTTATAATCGTCGTCGACCTTCTGAGATGAATTGGTTAATAATAACCAGCGTGCAATAGCTACGGTAAAGATGGGGGAACGGCAGCGGTTTTTCTACGCCTTTTCCTCGTTCTGGTCATGGTAATGTCTTGGGTTCCATCAGCCATTCCTACACTCTGTCCTACGTGCTCATGGTTGATATCCTGAGATTCATGCTTCCGTTTTTGCCCCGATGATCCAGCAGTACTTAAGTTTGAGGAGGTATCTGATATCTCGGCCTTGCTTTTTTGCGAAGGTCGGGAAGAGGCTTCTGGAAGCTTTTTCTTCTTGACGCTCAGTGGATTAGGCCCTTTTGGACCCTTCCTCTTCTTTTGCACTGGTTTGACTTGAGGTACGGTCGCTAGCTCTGGAGCGGACGGACGAAGTGATTGTTCCTCAGTCTAGTTGCAACAACGTTAGTTCAGATCTATTTGTATTTTTTTAAACCTCCTACCAGCTCCTTGGCTTTGAGTGTAGCCTCGCTCGGTGGCTCGAGTACCATGACCGTGCGATTTATGTGAACTACGGGCACCGCAGGTATGATGCGCAGGCTATTGCGCAGGGATTGCGACTGCGTGGCGACAACATATCTGTGCTTGTTAGTGTCGCCTTGGTAAGCGCGTACAGTAATCAGATCCTGTATGAAGGGAACATAGGATGAAACGGAGCGCACCTATTACGCTCAAGAGGCACTCGTCTCCAGGGATAGCCTCCCGATGGTTGCATTTGCGGCGTTCGAACGTCTTTGCGAAATCGACTGCAGGCTGTCGTTCCTTTCCTTGGAGATAGAGCTCTTGCATAGAGCATTGCGTGATCACTGAAAGCAAACTGTCAGACGTTCAGCAAACAACACCGCGGGCGTGCGGGAAGACTCACTGGGCTTCACATTTCCCTGTAGCACGGTGGCAAACTGTTTAGTGAGATCCAGCTTGGAATCTATAGCTATTTTGCACATTTCTGAGTCTACTGTGGAAGGACTTAGGGTGATGCAATAATTGTTTGTCACACCATGAACATACCGAGGATCTGGTAAGGCTGTCTGAATCTAAAAGACATGGAATACAGATGCATGAGTTTGCGATACGTCTTCGCCCGCTTTTGACGCATAGTTTGCCGATCTGCTGTAGGCAAAGTAGATAAAGTTAGAGAAGACTGTGAATTGTTATTTGGTGTTGTTGTCCAAGACTTCCGGTTCACATTCACCAGCCGAGCATTCGATAGTAGTGAAGATGATGCGCGCCCTTTCGTTATTGAGTCTGCTCCTCTCGTGGTCAAGGCAAGTACCATTCCTTTGTCCCCATTGCGTAACTTATCATTTTCTCCAGCATCATCTTTGCCCTGGAGTTGCACGGATACGTACAATGGAATGACCTGTGTCCTAGTGAGTCTTCTGTACGAACTGCGACAAGCACCTCACATGGCAACGACCAGGCTACGAGGCACTTGCATCTGCCAAAGTCCTTCTCGATGCAGGCAAGATGTCTGGACGCGTGACACGGAATGGAAACTTTTCAATGTAAGGCTGCGCTTGACTAAAACGCATTCCCATCTCATCAACTCGAACTTGCGCAGACCAGATGTCCCCCCAGGGACGTATATTCTCTCTGTACTATCCCATGATTACTCGTTCGACCACGTATGTTCTCTCTTTCTGGTTTTGAGTGGTTCTCATTAAACCCACCTAGGTTCGAATAGATGTCTCTCGTTCTGAACCTCAGCCAGAAGTCCGGCCGCACATATTTGGCACTCCTCTCCTCACAACGACCTCCTTTAGCCTTCCTTATCCAATTTTGCTGATCCCCCGTCACAAGAACAGATACTTCTCGCCTCGCGAATCCTTTAATCTCCTGGGGATGTTCCAGAGCCCTATGATGATGATCATGGTATTGACTGGCGTAATGATGCTTGCCATGCCCTACATCATGGTGAGTTTTACGTGTATTTTTCTTTCCGTCCTCATGCCAGTGCAGAAAAACATGGACCCGGAGACACTCGACGGACTGAAAGGACAAGTAAAGGCTGCGAGTAAACAGAATTCCATCCAAAGTGGCGATCCCGGAGGGTACGTGTCCATCGTATGCAATCCCACGAGTTGATATGCTTATCTAAAACAGGCTATCTGCTCTTCTTGCTGCCGAGGAAACTAAAGCAAGCACGCCTGTCGTAAAGTCCAATACAGGCTCTTCAACGCTTCAACAACGGAAAGGTGGTAAAGGCAATAAACGCCGATGATGTAGACTTCTCCATTTCTCATAGAAGGGACGAATAGATGTGGTTGAAAGTGGATATAGTGCTACATGCGTGAATCTACGTTGAGCGACCTGGTGACTTGGGCCGTGAGCTGGACAAAGATGATAGGACACCGTCGGCCTTTCCGATTCCGGGATAATCGAAGACGCAACGGAGCGCAGTATTTCTGTGGAGAATATAGAGCTATATAACCTTAATAATTGGATTGAACAGTACCTCTGCTTGAATCGAGCGACTATTGCTTGAGGATTCTGCAAGAAAGCATGGGATGACTCCATGCTCATGCTGAGAAGTAATACTAAGGTTTCATCAAGTCGACTAGCAAAAGTGCATCGCTTACTGGTCGTCAGAAGTGGAAACAACTTCTAAAACATACATATTGTCGTTCCTGCTGTAGTCCTCGTTGGCGCTGGCACCAGGTGCCACAGACACCTTAACGCCTGTCACAGCCATGTGACTAGAAGTGCTCTGTACTGTTGGTATGTCTCCCTTCGCTGGATCATGATTCAGCACAAGGACATGCTCGTCAGGATGACGCGACAACAGCATCAAAGGCGAGTCATCCGCATAGCGATACTCTACGCTTGCGTGTGCGAGGGAATTGGAACTAAGACCTGAGCTGTGCTGAAGAGACGAATGTGAAACCAAGAGATAGTAAGGTGGTTCAGTAGAAGCAGTCATGTTCCAGTAACGTCCTACCTACTCTCATCAATTATGGGGTAGCTTTACGTAATAATTAATAATAAGTAATGAATCGTGTAAAGTTCAAGTTGTTTGTGTCACTGTAAGTAGTATTGGTTGTATGCGAAAACTATCACTTCGAGCGCGGGCTTGGATCTCCGATGTCTGCTATGCAATCCTCGTTCTTGTTACTGGTTGTTTCTTTGCCATAGCATGTGCCGCGTTGTTATCGCAGGCGGTCAGAACATCACCTGGCAGGTCCTGGACGAACAACTGGGATGCTGTGATCGTTGGAGTGACATACTTGCTTGTGGTAAGCTTTGTTTGCGACGTCTAAACTTCTCATGACAGCGCCGTTCATTATTTGTAGTGCATCATATCCATCGCGTTGTGCGTGAAACGGCGAATTGCAGTGCGTCGCCGATTGCAGAGGATTTCGAAGACGCACCGTTCGATCGTTCGGAATGAGGTTCCTCAGGTGCGTTATATCGAGTTCCTGTATCTAGATGTGTGCTCTGAATATACGAAAGCCCGTTCATGAGTATATTTCGCAAGAATTTGCGCGTTCTTGCTTGGTGTCATATGAATCGCAGCCACGCAACACAGTTCACAGTGGCTGGGGTCGACCAGGTAAGTATAGGATCAGTTTCTTTTGATTATGGGTTTCCACACACACAGAAGGCACTCTACTCAGCGGTATTCGGTTTCGACGCGCTCTTCTTGATACGATCGCGGAAATAGGTGAGCAACTTTACTTCCGCAGAGTATGTAATTTTAATCTGCTCAGATGCCGGAGCACGTCTCGTCATACCCAGCCATCCAAATTTGAAGCCCCATGCACGCATGCTGCACCATTTTAGGTTCCTTCTACCACTCCTGCCAAAGGATGAAGAAGGTCTCTCGGAATTGCACTACTACGATTCAGCCATACAACTCGCGCGAACGGTGGACAGGGAACCGACGGAAGAAGAATACCAGCGGGGAATGGATGCTGTTGATTCCATTCTACAGATGTTCGTATAATTTCGGTGTTTGTCATGAAACGACGTACTGACAGTCGCACACAGTTTGCGGGAGTGCAGGTCGGAGATGCTGGAAGAGTCTAGGATGCAAATCAATACTGGGCAGAATGTGATCTTATGAAGGCCACGTCCTAAGAGTCTTTCCACATCCGCCACCTCCTTATCTTTGTATTCCATCCTATTCATCGTTCAGCGCTCCATCGACGAATTCCGTGTAACTCGCGGAACAGCAGGCTGAATCCTAAAAACCAGGGTCTGGATATTCCTACACCGCCTGCCGTATATAAATAGCTTGTACGCAACTATTTTTAAGCTACCCACCTGTCTTCAAATGGTGGTTACAAGGGAGCCTCATGCTTCTGGTCAGAATTTACCACCATCAAGCCTTCCTGTGCTAATGAATGGCCATTCAAGTCTGACTTTGGCATTGTCAGAGACAGCCTGAAGTGGCTGCAGGACATCACTACGACTGAGGGTTTCATTCTTAAACATGGCCTCGTTCTTCCATATGCTGATACTATTTGCCTCAAGGTGCGATTTGTACTTTTTAAAGTAAGTGCAGTTCATCACTAGTTGAAGGTTCATTCAATGACTTTCACAGCCATGAAGTTCCATGGGGTGAACTGAGTGCCGATGAAGTAGACTCATTAGCAAAACACTTTTTTTTCCCACCACCAAAAAATGGCTGGCCACAGCTTGGTCCCTTCTGTACAGAGCTGTACAGAGCCCACAGAGGCAAAGTGATTTGCTGATTCGGAGGACCTTGATGGTGTGTTATTATTTATTTGTTTGACTAATGTGTACGGTGTTTTAGACTCAGACCTTGATGGCATTTGAAAACTGGTCGACTTTCAATGGTGCTGCAAAGGGTGGTCTTGAGGACAACAAGAAAACTTGTCGTGTTGTGCCCATTCCAGCATATGACATGAAAGGCAATCTGATCAATCTGCGCCATTACTGTCAGACTCTTGAAGGTGCAGCTGTGGAATTATATTTCACTCTGAGACACTGGTCAATCCATCCAAAGAAGAACCAGCTGGAGAACAGTGGTATTGATACCTATACAGCTGATATCATTTTGATCCATGTCATTTCTCCACCCACCCCATGTGCTGGAACATCACTCAAACAAACTGTTTCGTGTTTCTTCAATCCCAACGAGTCACTGACCAAGAACCACTGCTGATGTATGTAGAGAAATCTTTGCCACTGTAGCACAAGACTTACTTTCCTTTGCAGCGCACATCTCAAATTCATGCTTCTTACTCCGGTGCCTTCTTTTTTTATCTTTGATCTCCTACATTCACACTTTGAGTCTCAACTACATTCCTTTTAATACCAACATTCATCTGCACAAATCTCAGTCCTTATGACAAAGTAATATTCCCCCTAGTACTAGTTATGCACACTTCTCTCTGATTATGGTCTACTCTTCCCTCCAATATCTTAGTTGACCACAAAATCAAGTCTGTTTTGATACTACAATTACATGGCGTCAAGCAAGGCTTCTACCAAGGCAGGCAGTGCTTTCTGAGTTGGAAGGATGCCACAAAACCTAGTACAATCGGTGATCACAACCACTGGTTCAGGACAATTTGCAATAGCTCACACAATTCAGCCTCAATAAATATTCTATCTCACCACATATCATTGTACACATATTCTAAGCTGCTATAAAGTTGAATCATCAAAATTGGTGGAGAAATGATTGAGATAGTTGTTAAGGTGTGACAGAGCAGCTGTTTGTCACTCAGTGAGTCTGCTGTGGCAGAGTTTTGATGTCTTGTAGGAAAGATGGGCTGGTAATGCCAAATACTGAGCAGATTTCGCTTCGGACTGCCAGTGACATTGTGTGACTGTCTGAACCAGTGGTTGACTGAAGTTGTGGTAACCAATAGTACTAGATGTTCACCAGAGTTTGCATTTTTTTGCAACAACAATAGCTCCTCAATGTTGGTGCCAAAATGGACAATTCTTTTACCATTGGATAGCCTGATGTTGAAAATACAATGCCTGCTAGTTTTTTTCTTGAGATTTGAAGAGTTGAGTTCAGTGGAGAGTTACTGTGTAGCAGAGTGGGTGTTATTACCAATGTTCACCAAATGGCAAAGGTTTGACACACACACTAGGACTCAGTCAATAATGAAGACAAAAAGAGTATAGGATTGAGAGTTGGGAATGTCTAGGTTCTATGAGTGTAGGAATGAAGAGGTTAAGTCTAAGGAGTACTGACTATGACTACCTTAACTATATACATAACATTGAATTGGAGATATGTGAGTATGAAAGAAATCAGCCAATGAGAAAAGAGTCATATGATACTGCAGATGACATAGCATGATGTCATGGACGGAAATTAAGTGATAGGAAGAGGTACAATTTTAGCCCATGGAGTTGGCAAGTCAATAGGAGATTGAGTGGGTGAAATGTGAAGAGGTGACAACACAACATTGTGAAGGTGTGGTAATGCGAAAGGAGTCACATGACCGGTTCAGGTACTGGAAGTAGCTGAAGGAAAACTGAGAAATGAAAAATGGTTTGTGTTAGGAATCCATGACAGTGGGATTGTCTCAAGAGTTCACACTACGTCACACCCTGCAATTGAACAATTTCACACTCTGCATAACTGCCTATACACCAGCAACCCAACACAAGTGAGATGGATAATGACACATGTGTTTAGTGCCACATTTTGGCACAGTGGAATCTCAATTCATACATCACACTTTGGATGGATTGTCATGTCTGATTGTGTTTCTTATACTGCTGTTATGACTAACATTCACTGAATGGCAAAGGTAAGATCACAACCACTAGGACTCAGTCAAAGACAATGATGAAGAACAAGATAGGATTGAGCATGAATGTCTAAGCCTCCTACAAGTGTAGAGAACAAAGAGGTTAAGTCTAAGGAGTACTTACACTAACTAACCTACTTATATACATAACATTTAGTCGGAGATATCTAAGTATGAAACAAATCAGCCAATGAGAAAAGAGTCGTACAATAACTGCAGATGCCGTAGTATAATGTTGTGATATATAAGCAATGAGGTCATAAGCAGAGATTAAATGATAGGAAGAGAGATCATTCTAGCCCATGGAGTAGGGGAGCCAATCGAAGATACAATAGGTGAAATGTGAAGAGGTGAAACTGTGACAGGAAGTGAAGTCATGTGACCGGTTCAGGAACAAGAAGTAACCGGAGGAAAGCTGAGAAACAAAAAATGGTTCATATTGGGAATTCATGACAACTACACGTCATTCTATCAAGAAAGTAGTTCCAGAGATATCTATTTTAACATGGCCTAATCATGTACAATCACCATATACCATTTCAGAATTTTTCGTGATGATATGACTGCTGGAGTGTGCATTCTATGTGTAAAAATAGCCTCCAGCACCATAAACTGAGCCCTGGCATGAGAACCACTTAGATTTTTTTCACAAAAAAATCTGACGATGTGTATTATGCTGGGGAGAACCTATGTGTGACATACATAAGGATTCTGTATAGAATTGTGTGTGCTAGAGTGAAAACATGAACTTGTGAGACACACAAACCCAGGTGATCATCTAGTATGATAGGACTGGGAATGAGATATCCACAGATGCTGCAGCCCAGCATAAGCCCAACACTTAAGTACTTACATACTACTGGCCTCTCTCATAATCCCTTTTGATTTTCAGGACTTGAAACTTACCCTAAACAAAGGTGAGTACAGCATTATGTTGAATGCTTGATAACATCTATTTTCCATAGCTGGATGGGTAGAGTTCCCCCTTTTGGGGGGTGATACTAATACTTGTGATCAGCTCTACTTCTCTATAATTTGGTTTCCAAAGGGCACATCATTAGTGGCTGTCCTTCATGACATTCACAACAAAATAATAATGGCACCCACACAATTCAATACCAACAGCCTGTCACAAATTTCTAATATGAATCATTTTTCATTTCTTGGTTTTCCTTCAGCTACTTCCAGTACCTGAACCAGTCACATGACTCCTTTCACATTATTACACCTTCACAACATCACCTCTTCATATTTTACCTATTACATCTCTGATTGGCTCCCCTACTCCACAGGCTAGAACTGTCTCTCTTCCTATCACTTAATCTCTGTCTATGATGTCATCACTTATATATCACTATGTCATCTGCAGTTATTGTACAACTCTTTTATCATTAGCTGATTTGTTTCATACTCAGATATCTCTAACTCAATGTTATGTATATAGTTAGGGTAGTCATAGTCAGTACTCCTTAGACTGAACCTCTTTATTCCTACCTTGGCAGAACCTAGACATTTACACTCAATCCTATCTTGTTCATCATCATCTATGACCAAGTCCTAGTGTGGTTGGTTAGTCTTTGCCATTTGGTGAACACTAGGAATAACACAGCCTGCCTGCTGAGACCATCAACTTTGCACAGTGAATGTTCTATGCTGTGCAAGACAGTGGCTCAAGGTTCCTCCTCCAAGCAGTCAATGTAAACCTCACAAATAACAAAAGTGTGTCCATTCATGCATACCTGGAGGTGCTACTCTTTCTTTCTTTCTTCCACAGTCACATTCAGAAATACTCATACATGTAACCAAAGATCATATGCATCCCTGACTCCACCAAGTAAAGAGGGTTCCCTCAAACAGAAATGTTCAGGCACCTGCAAATGAACCTCTGGGAAACTTTCTTTGTTGCTTGAATGATGTCTAGTTCTGAAAATGGTTTGATCTTGCATTCTATTTGGAGCTCACTGATGCAGAAGCAGTACTATTCTGCCCTTGCTTACCTGAGTGTCACTGACATGGTCTTCACTGTTAATGTTAGCCATAACACTCTGGTGAACAATACAATAAACTATGGTGGGTATGCTGACTTATAGACATTCATACCATGTTGTACATGTTGCTTGTAATCTCATACAATATCACACAGGTTTTTGGCATTTTGTTCAGACTTATTCAGCATTTGAGTGCCCAAACCAAACATTCTGAATGTGTTTGAGCATGTAAAGTTTGGTCCAGCATCCAGCGATATCACCAAACTGAACACAATGTCCTGTTCATTGTTAACATTTGTCAATTTGACTTTACTACATACAAAATGACATATTTTCATGTGCAGTTCCCTACATTGACCATATACAAGTGTGATAAACAATATGGTAAGAAAAAGTGAAAGAAACAGCTGAGAAACAAGGGAGTTATTGAGCTTGTTGTGAATGTTGCTGGCAATGACAAACAGTGGTTGAGCAACATTGTTGCCATTTTGGGTATGTTTCTTGTCATTGTTTGTCATACTTGGCAGCAAAGGACTGGTCTCACAGTAGACTACTTGTTTTTCCAAAGGTAAGATAAAAGCATTTATTGGGGTAATTACTGGCAGAATAGGAATATAAGGTCTGGATTATTGTTAAGGTCATGCTCAAAGGGAGGAGAACTCAAAGGGCTTGGCTTCAGCTTGTGTGCTGTGCCCCTTACCCGAGTATGTGCCTTTAATTTCTGGAAGGCAAAGGGAAATCCAACAAAGTCTGGAGGTCAGACACAGGAGGAGTTCGGCAGAATTCCAGGGATTTCAGGAGATGTTAGAATAAGACTACTACAGTCCAGAGTAGAAATGGAACAGAGGTAGACTACCCTAAGGTAGAGCCAGAGATATAGCCTAAGGAGCTGATCCTAAGACTTGGAGGTGGACAGGAGAAGAGACTCAAGTCTGGAGAAACAGGAATGAGCAGGAACTAAGTTAATATTTGAACTGAGGAGGTATGGAGTGTTACAGGAGTTTATATACTGTAGATATTGAAGTAAGTAACCAGTCAGCATAGTACAAGGCTATGTACAAAGTATGTGGAAAGCCTATTAGTAAGTCTATAACAGATCAAAAGAAATGGAGTCGGAAATGAATACAGAGGACGGATCTGTAAGCAAGGCAGAAAAGAGTATAACTGGTAGCTGGAGAAGAGGAGGTCTAAAAGGATATAGGTGTGAGGTTAGGTTTAAATCTGGAAATGAGACAGGAGAGCCAGATGGAAATAAGGATGGAAGTCTAGGTTACTGAGTGAGGATCTGGAGTTCCAGGTCTGGAAATGTGGGATATGACAATTATATGATGTTGAGGTGTACTTTAAACATCAGAAGTACTTGATGTTGGCATTGGTATGACCATTCTTGCCGTTATCTATTTTGCACCTTTGATGCCATATGTTACACATACTTCTTGACTTCTTGCACCATACGAACTCTACCGGGTGTCGATCCTCCATCTC